GTGTTTCTCTTCCCCAAATGCAAAACTCTACACTTCCCCTTGTTGAACTTCATCAGGTTTCTCCCTGCCCAACTCTCCAGCCTGTCTAAGTCTCTCTGAATGGCAGCGCAGCCTTCTGGTGTGTCAGCCACTCCTTCCAGCTTAGTGTCATCAGCAAACGTGCTGAGGGTACATTCTATACCCTCATCCAGGTCGTTGATAAAGATGTTGAACAACACCGGTCCCAGTACCGACCCCTGTGGGACTCCACTAGTCACACACCTCCAACCAGATTCTGCCCCATTCACTACAACTATCTGACTCCTTCCTTTCAACCAGTTCCTGATCCACCTCACTACCTGATCACCAAACCCATACCTGATCAACTTATCTACAAGGATGCTGTGGGAGATGGTGTCAAACGCTTTACTGAAATCAAGATAAACCACATCTACCGCTCTACCATCATCTATCCACCTAGTAATTTCTCTGGAATAACCAAAGGGAGAGAAAGGACTGTTGATTTTTTCTTCTTTTTTTTTATTTTTTTTTTATTTTTTTAAATTTGGCACACTTCTCAGTACCTGGAAGACTATAATATAAGGGTCTTCTGGATAACTAGGAAAGGAAGACATGGGGGAAAGGAATGGTGCTCCATCTCAGCACCTCCCTCACTCCATATTTTCTCTTTCCTGGAATGCAATGTTTTTTCCCCCTTGCAGTCATCAAGAACTGGTGTGCTCAGATGACCTGCTTAACAGCTCCAGTGCATCCAGAACCACTCCTCTCAACTTTGCTCTGCTTTGAAGACCAGTTCTGAAGTCAGACTCACATGCCCAGAAGCTTGCCTTTTTTTTTTCCCCCCAGTGTAACAGAGGTTTATACAGGATATCACCATTCCTGGCATAACTCACTCTCCTGTGCCTTTAGGCCATCACAAGTACAACTCAGCTCTAGTACTGAGGATACAACTTGTCTAGGCACCATGTACCATCTGTATAGAACACAACTTCACATAAACAAGGAGCTACTCCACTAAATGATAAAGTTGTCTAAATCCCTGCTGTCAGTCACAGGAGTGTTACCTGCTGAAGAAACACTCCTGTGTGCAGCATAAGGAAAGCTGTGATGTTTGCATGAGTTATCACAGTAAGAATTTTTACTCTACAAAGCAACTGCAAGAGAGTCAGGAAATCACCAGTAAGACCTTTGGATTCCAGGAATAAGTATTTCAAAAAGCATTATTCAATATATTAGAGAATTTACATGTTCAAAAGCCAGTTGTTTAGTAAATATATGACAAATGTCTAATTAACTGTCTTTTAGAGTAGCCCAAGTTGGAATAGGTTCTGGAGTTCAGCAATCTTAGTTTGGGTTTTCTTGAGTGAATATGCATTATATTTATTTGCAGAATAAATGTTTTAAGAATAAATCGAGGCAATTCTAAAGTAATACTGTGTAATAACCAGCTAGTGTCTTGTCCAGTAATCTGTCCTTCCTGTTTTTTTACTGTGTTGTTGTACTGCACAAACAGACTGGAGTAAAAATAGCATGATTCATAGTTGTTGTCCTGCTTGTCTCCTGTCAGAGAGGACAAACAAGAGAGACAGCTTGCTAGTAAATAGTGAAGGTAGGTGTGTTTAGGGTAATGCAATATAGAGGAACCATTTCTAAACAGCTTTTGGTGTGAAGAGCTTCTTTCAGATTCTGTAACAGCTATAAAACATACAACATTGCCCAGGACTTATTAGCAATATTTATCTGTATCAGGACAGACCTTTGCACATTAGCACTGAAACTTTTTTCATTAAAACAAACAACTGGGGAGAAAGTACTTTAAAAGACTCTTGCCCTACAGCTTGATGTTTGTGAACCCTAGATGTTTATATCAGAAGCAACGCAATCAGTTGCCAGGGTTATCACTGGGTGCACTGAACTACAAAGGCAAGGCTGGCTCAGTCATCTATTCCAGCTTCAGATAGTGCATGATGGAGACTTGCTCTCTTGGCAGTTTTTTACTTCCAGTTGCATCCATGTTATGCCTCGTGTGCTGACACAAGGCTTTCTTAATCTTCAGACCCTTGAACACCATATATATATATTCCTTAGGAAGAAAAAAAAAAAAAAAGTTGCCAAAGCTATAAAAAGATTAGAGCTTTTTAACAGAATCACATCCTATAACTCCTTATTTATCCTGGGATGAAAAAAGAACACACCAAAGAAAAGCTCTGATGTCCTACAAGTGCCATAATGTTTAGTTAGACCAAAGAGTAGAACCAGAGAAGTTTACACTGAAAAAAATAATCTTGTTTATCAAGTCCAAGGGCTAACACCCTGTTCTTTGCCTTGCCACAGTAGTTTCCAAACTCTGATCCATGGATTGCTGCAGATCTTGTCCTTAAAGGACTTGTACATGTTGGCATATTCCTTAGGTGCAGAATAGGGTTTCTGCTGGAAAGGTAAAGAGCCTGGGGCACAGCAGTGGGGAAATTGTTTAGAAGGACCACTTTGAGGACTGGGCCCAGTCAGGTGGCACAGCTTCTGGCTACAGGGGAGTGCTGTGGTGTCTTGCCAGGCAAGCAGAGATAACAGACCCTTCACCACTTGGTGCTGTAGCTGCAGTCCACTGAAAGGAAAAAAATGCTAGGAAAATGTTGCTGTAGCAATAAGAGTTGAGCTGCTAGTTGTGCTAAAACAGTCAGAGCGTGGATGTGTCTGACACTTTTCTTAGAAGATGGTTCAAAACATACAGCCTTCCAAAGCACCTGCATAATGCTGCCTCTAAAAGATGACTGTGAGCTTTTACCTGCTTCTGCTGGTCAGCCATGGTGGAATATCCAGTGTCTCTTGTCATCTGAAATAAGAGGTCATCTGAAATAAGAGGCTGTCCTAGAGATTATTGCACAGCTGTTTTTATATTGCTGCACCCTTCAATAAATTATGATTAGCAAAAGCTAAGAAAACATTTCTTAAGGTTTTCTTGGTTTCACCCAGTCTTTAATGATATGAAGAGATTACTGAGGATTGCAGAATTTAATCCATTTTCCTTCTTATGCTTAGAAGAATATTCAAGCATTGGGAAACTGTTAAATAAGGTAACAAAGGGAAGCACAAGGAAGGTAGAAAAGCACCTGTCTGAGGTACAGGTGGAAAACTATTAATTAGAGAGATGATATTTTATTACCTTTCTGATGGTAGCAAGCCTCTTGGGAGTACCCTTGGAGTTTCAGAAAGGAGGAATGCACTGCCAAAAAGAAGTCCCAGTGTTAGCCAAGAGGTTACACTTTAGCTGTGAAATGAGAGCTTTCCGGGTACATTCTTACAAATGCAACTGTTTATTTACACATGTTCCCAGCTCTGTTTCCCTATGTTACCCATTAGCATGCGGGTCAAGGGGGCATGAGATAGCAAAATTGGACAACTTCTTCCTGCTTATTCATAGGCAAGAAAAGGACAGGGCCAGTCCACCAAACTACCTACTTTAGTGGAAGAAACTGATGCTAAGTGGCATCAGGCAAAAAGTGATTTGAAACTTGAAACCATGAGCCCAACCCCACTGTCAAACTTCTTTTGACACAGGGTTGGATGTACTCCTGTAGGAGATGCCAACTTTTGGTAGCAGCCTTAAAAAAGAAATCAAACAAGTTAACTTTATCTCCCTTGGCCAAAAGATGTAGTGAGATGCCCTGGGGTGCTATTCCTTAAAATGAGGATGTGTTGAGGAACTGACAGTGTCATAGGGCTTCTCATCTTTTCCCAGATCTAGAGCTCCTTGCTGTGAGGAGCTCACAGAGACAGTCTGTGGTCAGCGATCTTCTGTATGGCTTTTTACTCCAGTACATCAAGTTTGCCAACCACAACCTTATGGAAAAAATATAGTTGGACTCCAACATACATGGTGAAGAATACTTGTAAGTAGCAATCATAGAATCACAGAATAGTTTGGGTTGGAAGGGACCATAAAGATAATTCCAACCCCCCTGCATTGGCAGGGACACCTCACACTAGACCAGGTTGCTCACTGTCCCATCCAACCTGCCCTTGAACACTTCCAGGAGGGGGCATCCACAGCATCCCTGGGAAATCTGTGCCAGTGCTCCACCACCCTCACAGTATAATAGCCTGCTAGCCTGAACAGAACAGCATAAATAACTTGCCACAGGATAAATGGATCTTATTTGTATTTCTGACAGATCATCTGATCACAATGATGCCTTTCATGTTACGTAACAGGAACTATATGCCCATCTTGTCACACATGTCCTCTCAGCACAGGTGTTCCCACTGTTTCCAGGAAAACATGACTAAGACTTGAAATTCATTAAGCTTTGAATAGTCCATTCCTTTTTGAAGCTTTGCTCCATTCCAGCTTTACTAGCAGGTTGTCTGGAGTCTTGAACAGTTGAGTTGTGTGTATCTGCATGGAGGGAGATTCCACAGCTTCACTGTAACTTTTTTCCCCCTCCTCCTAATATCTTATAAGAACTTTCTTTGTTAGAACTCTTATCTCTTGCTCTTTTGCTGTGCACCTCTCTGTCTGCTCTACAAACACCCAGTAGGGAGCTGAAAACAGCAATGTGAAATCACTGCTCTGGGACAATACAGCTGCCTGCAGTTTTTTGTGGTTAAAGAGATTTTTCTACTCTTATGACCTTGTAGTATACAACATTAGGTCTTAGGAAGATATAAATGGGGTATCTCAGCTGCCTGCTGGAAGGC